TTCAAATCTTCAGAAATTAGCCGCTGCCGTCAGATTAAGAAAAATGGACGATGCTGATATGACCGCACCGCCGCACCTAAGGACCCTGCCGCATATGAGCCTTATTATATATATATATATATATATATATATATATATATATATATATATATATATATATATATATATATATATATATATATATATATATATATATATATATAGGGAAGGGATCAGGTGCATTTGTTGCTTCCCGTGCGGATGTGCGGTGGATTAATGTGCGAGAGGTTTATACTTAATGTGCGTGAGATTTGTACTCAATGTGCCTGAGATTTGTACTTAATGTGCGTCATGTTAATATGCGTGAGTTTTGTACTTAATATGCCTGAGTACTGTGTTTAATGTGCGTGAGATTTGTGCTTAATGTGTGTGCGTATTTCAGAATTACGAGCTCAGAAGGAAGCAGAACAGAAACTCACGCACATTATTGCCCAAGCTTCTTATTACTTCTTCCTTTAATTTGGCCATGGATTCTAGATTATCAGTTACCTTAAGTGCAGTTGAATGTTTATATAAATGACGCACACACAGTAAAATTTGCACAACAGCTAAGTGTGGATTTCAGTTGTATTATTCCCATAATTTTTAACCACTATAGCTCGCCTCCGCATCATCATCAACAGGGAGGGGGCAAATGGCTACTGGGGATGGGGAAGAAGTTGACATCAATATTTTCTGCTGCATTTTACACATTCACGCACATTAAGTACAAATCTCAGGCATATTAAGCACAACACTCACGCACATTGAGTACAAATCTCACGCCCATTAATCCACCGCACATCCGCACGGGAAGCATTCACCGCACGAGAACTATATATATATATACACACACACACACACACACACACTTTAGGCCTATATTATCAATAATTGATCAATTCAAACCAAAAACGCCAATAAATAACTCTCACAGGGAGTTAAACTTAGAACTTTGTGACTATTAAGTCAAAGTAAATGTCAAACTAACTCAGTTAGGGTTGCAGTCATCTAGCTAATTAATATATATAATGAGTTTCAATGATACCCATGTGGCTAATATATAATGAGTTCTGCTGATTCTACTGTGCTAATATTAAACCTTCATCCATGGTGCTTACTGCCTAATTAATTAAAATGCTATTATTCAAAATTGATGTGGACAATGACATGCAGCAAAGGGAAGCATGCCAATATATGCCAATAAATTATTACAAATTCACCAAAAGCAAATCAAGAAGGTCGTAGTGATCAAAAGCTCCACTCTACCTAATAATTATTGAAGATGAATTTTGTGTTACTACTGTGACTGTTCAGTGTGTGATTCATTTTAAGGTTAAATCAAATGTATCAATCAATGTGAAACGGGTAACATAGCAAAGCCATAAAGAGTGGACATTTACAATCACTATAATGCTGTTGAATTGCCACATTGATTGAGTTGATCTGAGTAGACTCTGTGGACAAAAATGATATATAGGAGGAAGGATTAAGATTCCCAATGTGACAAGAGTTGAAAGTGATGGGATGATAGGCTAGGAAACTCAGACGGAATAGATTATCACAGTTCAGTTCAGATACTTTAGTTCGATCCATTCAAAGACATTGCAATCAAATTTTAGAGTCTAAGCGAAGCGTATTGAGTCAATTCACAAGTCACATCCTATGTGAATCAGCTCAAGAGGTGGCATTGGCCTAGTTTGGAAGATCCACTTAGCTAATAGCGATTGTTTACTTGAAAATGTGATAGAAATAACATGAGATATGCCTCATTAATGTTGATCATAATGGTCACACCGGGATACTAAATAGTGTGTGCCTTAATTACCAACGGGCTACTTCTCCAGTGCGGTGCAACCACCATGGACAAATTATAAATAGAAGAATGACACTATAACGAAGTGAGACACCTTCACTTTACTAATGAAAACCTTGTACTTGATCTCTTAGCATATTTGAGCACCACAATCATTTTTCATTATTTTCCCTTTGAGTTAATTATATACAGGGACGGAGCCAAAGGAGGGCATCTGTCCCCCTCACCCCACCCCCACCCGCACCCACACCCGCACCCCATATATAATTTTTGTATGTATATATGTATATATAGTATAGGTTTTATTATTAGTATAAAAAAACTAGTAAATATTAAAAAGTAAGTAGTTAGATTAGTTGGTAAGGCATGTGGTTGGTAATGGGAAAGGTTTTGGGTTCAAATCCTTTCATTAACATAGTCTTACATACTTCTGAGTTCTTCCCCTATGGCTTCAACACAATTACTTTTTTAATATGTGTAATTTATACTGTGTTTTCTATTCAAATTATTTTATCAAATTAATTATGGTTCATATTTTTTTATGAACATTTTTATAAAGTTTCGATGTGTTTTATTTTTCGCACATATCCAATAATATTTACAACTATATTTCTTAGGTAATGGTTATAAAAAAAAAAAAAAAAAATTTCTTAGGTAATTTATTTATTTTTTTTAAATCATCTCTTTTTGTATTTAATGTTTCGCTTTTACTGGAAAAAATTTCTGAATTTGTCCTACTTCTTCGCCCCACCCCCCCCCCCCCCACCCAGTCGAATTTCTGGCTCCGTCCTTGATTATATATATCACTAGAAATAATAGTTTTAGCTGAAAACAGAATACTTAAAAAGTTTTTTTTTTCTCGCTTAACCTTTTTTTTATCAACGAGTCAACGACGTGTAATCAAAGTTGGAAAAACTCAACTTTCTTTTGAATTCAAACCCGGCCCCATGATATTGGTCTAGTGGATAAGCAATTCTGTACACTTGAAACTCTCCCCCAAGTAAAGGTGGGATTTGAATCCCACCACAAACAATTTGAAGATGAGATCCACTAATTTTATCTGAGTTGAGGCTATGTCCCTAACTTAATTGTGTGCAGAAGGATATAGTTTGGTGTGAGGATCGAAGCTAAGTATCAATAAAATTAGGTAAAAAGCTAGCAAGCACTATCCATATTCCTTCAAGAGCAAGCGACTAAGGCAGAAATTAAAACAATTACTAAAAAATATATATACAAAAGACTGAAAGAGCTCTGGCAAGTAGGGTACCAGCATGAAAAAAAGCAAGCACATTGGAATATTGAAGTGCATAGAACAGTATTAAAGTAGGAAGTCAAGCTCATTCAAAGCATCTGCTTACTCTTTTAAGGTATATATCTTTGAAAGTGCAAATTTGGGTTTTGGTCTGCCTATGTATGTCTAATGTTAGGTTAATTTTTTTATTGGAAAAGGAAGAAAGCATTAATTATCGTGTTCGTGGTCGTCCCTTTACGCTAATTAATCATTTGGTCTCTCATGTTACTTAATCATGAGGTGAAGCTTATAGTAGTGAGAGCTAAAATCTGGACTTTATTTAATGTGCCTAACTAAAGCCTATTACTCCCAATGCTTTGCCCTAAAAGTAGGGAGGACTCTGCTGATTCTTGTCCACCGGCGCCGGCGCTCTGTTGCCCACTACATCCCCTCAAGTGGGTGATATCAATTTTGTTTTTATAAATTTAGTTTAATGATGATATTTCTTTTTTATTTATTTAATTATCATGAATCCAACTATCAATTTTGTATTGTGCAAAGGTCTCATGGCAAAACAAAACTCCCACACAAGTGTTCTTTGTTTTAATGTATAATTCGTCAAGAAAATATATGTACACTCATACCGGATTAATGATTGAAATAGGAAGAATATAGGAGTGAATGACAAAAATATAAACGTTTTAAAAAATGAACAATTTTGAGAAAAGCTCATTTGGGACATGCGTTTCATGTTAGAAACGCATCTCCCAAATTAAATGAGTTTCTTCAAAAACCTTTAAACTTTTTTTTCTAAAAATAAACATAGAGGCAAGTACCACTTGCGTCTCTCGACCGTATACGGAATGCAGATGAAACGCAACTTCGGCGAATAGTTAACACAACTGTTGTTCTTCTCCAACTCAAAATTCTCCACGGCAGCGGGACTAACATGGATGGGCGCCATGGCCGTAGCCTGCATGCTCCCCGTCGCGTTCATCCATTTCCCGCGATGGGGAAGCATGCTTTTTTCGGCGTCCAAGAACGAGAGTTACAACGAGAAATATTACTGCAGGTTTGGAGTGGAACGAGGAGGAGAAATCGAAAGGTTTGCACCATGGGAGTCTCAAATTTGCAGAGAATAGCCGGTCGAATTCCTTGTCAGATGCCACTTTCATCTGCATTCCGTATACGGTCGAGAGAGTATAATACATAAGACGCAAGTGGTCTCTATTTATTTAAGACGCAAGTGGTCTCTATTTATTTTAGAAAAAAAAAAAAAACAGTTTAAAGATTTTTGAAGAAACTAATTTGGGGAGATGCGTTTCTGACATGAAAGGCATGTCCCAAATAAGTTTTTCTCAAAATTGTCTATTTTTTAAATGAATCAATCACATCTCGAGACAACCAACAAAGCTAAACAAAATTATTGTCTTATGGGAACAACTCTAGCCAAATTAATCAAACCTTTAACTTGGTAAATGTTTCAAGTTCAACTACCAATTGTAACTGTTTCAAGTTCAAGCTGCCTATTAATCAATCAGTTATGGACAACTTAGACTGATTTAGTTTCATGTGATAGAGTTTACCTAATTTGACTGCAAATTTTCCTCACAACGAAATATATATATATATATTATTGGTCAAACAACTGTATAAGATCCCGGGCACACATTCATCACTATTAATTAGGAGTATAATAATTGAAGTGTATCATGGTATCAAACGAAAAGAATTTTGGCACTCGTGCAGAAAGCAGCCTTATAGCTCTAGCGCCTAGCAGTCGCCATATCTCCACTTTCTTCACAGTTTAATAAAATTAGTAGCAGTGTTGCATACTCAGCACTAGGGCATTAAAAAATGTAAGCACATGCCAAGCAATAGCATTAACAACTGAACAAGGCATCTTGCAATAATTAACTAATAAGGCATCAGCCATTAGAGAATCTGCTTAATTGATATGATTTGAGATCAAAAACTTAAAACATAAATCCAAATCCATTGATGAACATTCAACAGTGTACAAATTCATCCACTACAAGATACTGACCAGCTTCTGTTCTGTTCTATGATTCTACATGCTGTTATGATAACTCAACACTGCTTAGATAAACACAACAGAGAAACCAAATTATAAACATTGAACAGATAAATCAAAACTGATGGCGTTGGCCGCTGATCGGCCCTCAGTACTGCTGAGCAACACAAGTGAGACAATTCCTTCAAGCACTTGAGGGCTGTCAAGACAATGTAGAATTGAGGGTATTTGAGAGGTGTGCAATTGATGATTGGCCTTCTTCATGTTTTCCTTGCATACCATACTGTCTAACTGTCTTTCACCAGCCCTCCAGAATGATCACAAAGATTCAAATAGGGGGAAAAACTCCACCCCTTATCTTGCCCTTTATGTTCAGCTGATTTACACATTGAAGTGAATTTGCAAGTGTGGAGGCATAAATAGATACAATACAGGATATTTCCTAATCTGGGCAGCCATTGAATTTGAGATTTTGAATTAACTATGCAGAGTATTGTGATTTTTATGTCAGTTCTTACTGGTTGTATCTCAGGTCCAATATTGGTGGAATGCAGGGCTTCCATCAAAGCCATTTCTTTACACATTAAGTCACAGAAGTAAATCGTGGATATAATTAAAACTTCCCCAAAAAATTACCTTTTACACTTGATCATAATAAATCAAAGAAAGACCTTAGGTTTTTGAAACCCGATCTAACCTGCGAGCCTTCCTCTTCGAATGTCTATGATTCAACAACCCTTTGAAAGGAAACAAAAGAGGGCGATGTAACAGCTTCTTTCGGCCTTTTCTCCCTGCACATATAAATTGGACATATTAGGTGGAGATTTATGGGGTTTCTTCTTTGTTGGGAGGGGGAGGGGGTGGGATGGGGCTGAGGGGAGTGAAGTGGAGAAGATGAATAAGAAACAGCATCAGTTCCTATAGAAGAAGAAACTGGAATGGCAAGAGTAAACGGAAATGAGGAGAGAAGAAATTCCAGGAAGCAATGGTGGGACATCTAAACTGAAACTAACAGCAAACAGTATGAATAGAGAAATCATAGGGGAAAGAAAATCTCAGCCCAATACAGGATGCATTGTCTGACAAAATGCTGACATTTGAGAAGAATATAAAGATAGAGAAAAACATTTCAAGCTATGCACTGAAGAGAGGCAATTGGAAAACAGGTTTCCCTTAGCTTACAACAATAAAACTTGAAAAAAAAATAGAAAATAAAAATAAAAACAAAAAGAACGGCTTCACAAAAAATATTTGATACTCCTAAACATCATGGATTGATACCTGAAAGAGGTGCACTGTGGATTTGATATCTTAGTCTAGACTGGCTGCCTGTTTCCATTTGATCTTGCTCATCGTCTTCCATTAGTTCACATTCAGCAGGATTACACTCATTATTGTCTTTCATGGGACTACTAGAATTTCTCACAGGCAATCCATCAGCCAAACTAACAGAAAAATCCCTAGTTTCTGCTCTCTCAACTAACTCATTGTGCGAACCCACATTATAAGACACCAAACATGGTTCCTTCTCACAGAGGTCCTTTGTATCTATGAAGGCTTTATCAATAGCAACACCTTGTGCCTGAAGACCAGTGTCAAGTCTATCTGGTATCATAGAATCTTCAATGTGTGAAGTAATTAAGGTAGAATTGTCTGATGGAGCAGATATTTCAGCTGAGGTGAGATTAGCATGGTACAAAGATACATCAGCATCAACTATGGAAGTGTAACTTGTTGCACTATCTGGCAAGGTATTTTGTTCTTCAGAATTAGCTACCTGACTTTCTGATTCTATTTCAAGCATTTCATTACCGCAAGAGCTTTTGCCATCCTCTCTGCAAGTGTAAATTGTTGCATCACCTTGCAAGGCATCTTGTTCTTCAGATTTAGCTAGGTGACTTTCCAATTGCAATTCAAGCACTCCACTGTCAGGAGATATTCTTTCGGAAATTGTATTCTCTTCATTTTTCTCAGCATTATTCATATCAATTAGAAGATCAGTTGTTGGCAAAGAAAGTGCCATTGAAGCTTCAACTTCTGAATTCGTATATATATTTTGGACATCAGATACAGTAGTTTGACCATCACCATGGAAATGATTATGGCCACCTTCCTCAGAGATCGCAGAAGTTGCAAGATCCACCTCAGTTGGCTGAACAGCAGCAAAGTCTGGAGCAGCATCCAGAAGCTTTGGTTCTAAATCCCTTGAAGATATCACATCTCTGATCTGGAGACCGTGTGGAGGGAGACCATTCATAGCAGAGGTAAAATCTATGGGCTTCACATTTTGTGATACATTGCTGGGAGCTGAGAAGAATTTCTCAATGTCATCTAATAGCAAATCACCCTCACCGCTTGAGATGGGATCCCATTTAAGCCAATCATCAAATGCAGGCTTATCGGAATTGGCCTGTCTTGCCGAGGATATTGCCTCAACCTTAATGGTTTCCTTGTAATAGCACTTTTTCCTCAAAGCATTTTCTATAAGAGTTCTGCGATATATACAGAGACTACCTCAAAACACACAATTGAAAAGGACAAATTATCAGTAAAGCTGAAGTTTCTAATAATAGTTCATTACCTGCAATTTTTGGAAAGAGCTGCTTTAGCATGTTCCAAGGAAAGACCAAGCAGAGATACCAAATTCACTACATCATATGGCCCTCTAAATTCAGTTACAGAAGGAGCATCACTTGTAAGAATAATATTCTTCCCTCGTGACCAATCCACCAATAGCTGAAAGTTCAAATACGGAGTAGTTAAGATCAGAAATGTGCATACTTCCCACAATTCATCTGTCACAGATGCCTAAACACTAAGGGCTAAAACATGCACATATTCATTGTAAAGAAACTTTCTGTTCTTATGTCTAACTTAGGACTTGCTATCAGAAGAGCTTTCAACACCCACCTTGGCATTAGATATCATTTGCCTCCTTGCTTGAGCATCGATAAGAAGACTTGAGTAAGTTATCTCAAAATAAACCCCACGCTAAAACCAATAAGAGGATAAAACTTGTCAATGGTCGAATTATAGTCATACATGAAAAAAAAAAAAAAAAAAAAAAACAAAAAAAGATAATGTGCGCTAGTATGTTTGTGTGTGCCATATACAATACCATAAATTTCTCTGGTTTCATTACACCATTTACAGTTAATATAAAGACACCCCGATGCTCAACAGTCAACAATGACCTTAACTCGATAAGTCATATTTTATAATTTATAATAAATTATAATTTGTCCCTGCTTGGCAATTTTGATTAGAATGTAGTGTGCATTGTGTGTGCATATGCACCACATGCTCATGCCATATCCAGTGCCTTAAATTTCTCTAGTTTCATTCTTCATTTACAATGAAAATAAAGACACCCCCGACACACAACAGTGGACCTTAATTCACTGTGTGATTTTTTAAAGAAATTATATGATGTCTCTGCCCGGAAATTTAATTTAGAATCTAATCTGTAACTTGAAAACATAACCAACCCCCTAAACACTTGGACTCAAGTGCAGCGATTTTCTTCTTATAAGTGAAATGCCAAAGCAAACTTACAAACTTACAAAACTAGTACTTAGAAATTTCTGAGAGACTGAAACTCATAACAGACAGTCAGACACGCAAATATTTGCCACCATACCCTCCTTCCCACACAATTATACGCACACACACACCAGACAATAATCAGAAAGCATGTATACAAATTTTGACCTTTTAAGTTTTATTCACATACAAAGTTAAGTTTCTGGTTTCTAGTTGATCATCATATTTGCATACACCTAATAAAAATATATCAATTCAAAATTACATGCAATGCTGAGAGGAAATTTTATTATCTCCTTCTTTCTATTTGATTTTACTCTGTATCTTGGTAGGCCTAAGAAAAAGCATACCTGGATAGCCGCTTTAACCATGGGCTGCTTCAATCTAAACAGCAACTTCTCTGAGAAATCAATGGTAATAATATCCACCTACAACCCATAGGACCATAAATTATAGCCTAGGTTACACATAAGTTCCAAAATACTTGTATCTAAAAATGTAGGATAGCATACTGATAAACGTTCCACTAGTTCAATTAAAGCAAATACCAGGCTGATAAATGCAACATTAGTTCAATTAAAGCAAAAATGAAATCGAATCCAAAATCAACCAAACCTCGGAAGTCCGGCAAGCATGGTCGAAAGCATTCTGATTGAGCGGCTTGACGGCAACGATGTCGTAGCTCTTTAAAACAGGGTTTCCAAAGTTGAGAACCGAGGCTTGAGCGGGGCTATCGACCATTACAGTCAAGCGAGTGTACTGGCGAAAGGGGGCGGAAACGGGGACGCTGAGGAGTTCGCGATGGAGCTTGACGGCGGAGGAGATAGAAGGAGCGAGCTTGAGGATGGATGAGAGTGGGAAGAGAGGAATGGAGCAACGGTCCGATTCGGACATAACGCCCTTGATCGTGCGGTTGTAGGCTACTCCGGTGTAGCCGAGCTCCATGGCCTTGATGATGAGCTTGAGGCGCATGGCCTTCGCGGTGTTCTTGTTGGCGACATGGCGGTCGGATTCAAAATACGGAACGTTCAGGTCGAAGTACCCCATCGCCGTGGGGTTGAGCTTCTCGGAGAATGATCGGAAAATTCTCAATCAGATTGATGAAAAGCGGTGGAGGGTTCTAAGGAGGTTTTAGGTGGTGGACTGGTTGTTTCCCTCGAATGTCAAAATTGGGCCTCATGGCCCATAAGCCCATCATATATTTGATTATTTAATCAATTTTATTCCGATCGTTATGCTATTGATCCGTGTCCAGCATGTAATGCGGACACGTAACGGTGTCGTTAGTGGCACCTCTTCCATATTTTTTTTAAAAAAAAATTTCAGACCGCTTCGTTATAGGAGTATATGTTCATAATTTTATCACTATATGTTCATAATTGTAAGTTCATTATGTCAGAGCTCTGTGTTCATAATTTCATAACTGTACATGCATAATTTCATAACTGTACATTCATAATTCTATAACTGTACATTCATAATTCCCTAACTGTACACTCATAATTCCATAACTGTACATTCATAATTTTCGAAACTCTATGTTCACAATTTTAGAGCTCTATGTTCATAATTTTATTACTATATGTTCATAATTGTAAGTTCATAATGTCAGAGCTCTGTGTTTATAATTTCATAACTTACATTCATAATTTCATAACTGTACATTCATAACTCCATAACTGTACATTCATAATGCCACAAACGAATAACGCCGTTAACGACGTTAACGGCAAGACAAAATCTTTTTTTTTTAAACTGAAATGTCACGTTTTTTATGAAAACGACGTCTTTTTGGACTCGTGTCTACAATGCATTGTAGACACGAGTCCACAGCATAATTTGCGATTTTATTCTCCCTAAATTAAATTTACGCTATAATTTAACGGCTAAAATTATAATTTTTTTTAGAAATAAAGATTAAATGATCAATTTAACTATTCTAAAAATAGTAATTATTGTAAAAGTTCGGCGTACTCTAGCTCTGTGTTTCGAGATGAATTGTGAAGTATTGCGGGACGCAAAGAAGAGGGAAAGAAAACGAAGAATGATGCTAATGGTTTGACATTCTGGAAAAGTGAAGAAAAATTGATAACAGAAAAGGAAACTACCATCCTTATATACTTGGATGGCAGTTGGTTACAACAAATTTGGAAGAAGAGTTACAAATACTCTTTTACCCTTCTAATACCCCGCGTAAGCTGGAGTGTGCAAATCTTGGACACCAAACTTAAATACAAATGTGTTAAACATAGAAGAGGCTAGAGGCTTAGTAAAGCCGTCAGCTATCTGATTGAGAGATGACACAGATAACAGTTTGATCAAGCCTCGAGCAATCCTTTCTCTCACGACATGGCAATCAATGTCGATATGCTTCGTTCTCTCGTGGAAGACATGGTTCTCAGCTATCGCTATGGCGGACTTACTGTCACAAAATACAACAGCATTACAGCAGGCTCAGTTGTGGCTACGTGCAGATCTTGAAGGAGCAAGGTTAACCACTGTAATTCGCAAGCAGTAGTGGCTAAGGCTCGATATTCAGCCTCGGATGAGGATTTGGAGACGGTGGCTTGTTTCTTTGCACGCCATGATATGAGGGACGTGCCTAAGAAGACGCAGAATCCCGTGACTGACTTGCGTGTCTCTGTGCAAGACGCCCAATCTGAGTCTGAGAATGCTTTTAGTTTGAGAGTGGAACCTGCCAGATAAAATATGCCCTGACCTGGAGATCCTTTGATGTATCTTAAAACACGGTGAGCAGCTGCCAAGTGCTTGTCAGTAGGTGAGTTGACAAACTGGCTAAGTTGGTGTACAGAGCATGTGATGTCGGGTCTGGTTGCGGTTAGATATAATAGTCTCCCTATGAGCCTTTGATAGCTGCTCGGATTAGGGATGGGTGTGCCATCTTCATGGGATAGAGGGGCACCTGGAACCATGGGCGTGCAAACCGGCTTGCAGTTCAAGAATCCTGCATCATCAAGGATGTCGAGGGCATATTTACGCTGGCATATGTTCAGCCCTGCACTGCTAATCTCGGCTTCAATGCCTAAAAAATAGCCAAGGACACCTAAGTCCTTAATTTTAAAAGTTGCATGTAGTGAATCTTTTAGCTCCTGTATGGGAGTTAACTTGCTGCTTGCCACCAATATGTCGTCAACATAGACCAAGAGGGCAATGAAGTCTTCACCAGTGCCTCTTGTAAACAATGAAGGATCGGTACTGGATTGCTTGAAGCCAGCACGTAATAGAGCTATGGTTAGTTTAGCGTTTCATTGGCGACTCGCCTGCTTTAGGCCATAGAGTGATCTTGTCAATTTACACACTTGATTCTACTTTTCTGTTTGAAAATCGGGGGAGAAGAACCATGTAAATCTCTTCCTTCAGATCACCGTGGAGAAAAGCGTTATTAATATCCATTTGATGGATATTCCAACCCCTTGACACTGCCACAGCCAAGAACGTTCTAATGGTTGTTAATCGAGCAACTGGGGAGAAGGTTTCGATGTAGTCTACTCCCAGCTGCTGCGTGTATCCTTTGGCAACCAAACGTGCCTTGTAGCGCTCCACTGTGCCATCTGCTCTTAACTTGGTTTTGTAAACCCATTTACAACCTATAGGTTTCTTGCCAGCAGGTAAGTCCGTCAACTGCCATGTATTGTTTTCTTGGAGAGCTATTATTTCTACCTCCATAGCATCTTTCCAGCATTGGTGTTGAATAGGTTGATTATAGGTCCGAGGCTCTGCAACGGAGGTGACTGCCATGGTGAAGGCTTTGTGTGATGGTGAGAGGCCATCATATGAAATAACTCTGGACAGAGTGTGAGGAGATGATTTCTGAGCGACTACTGAATCACAGTAGTAATCATGTAATCTGTTTGGTATTCTTTTTTCTCTGTTGGATCGCCGAGGAGCCATAGGGGTGTTGGCACGTGGTTGTTCATCATTTGTTATGGATTCATGACCATAGGATTGGGAGCTCGCTTCACCTTGTGTCGTAGCAGATGGATCTTCATAAGGTAACTGGTTGTCAAAAGGATGTTGCTCTAATGCTTGGCTGTCATTAAAGCCTTCATCTAATGCTTGACTATGGTGATCTTGATTGTTGATAGGGTTGTGGTTGTCTCGCCTGTTGTCTGTTTCATGCATAGATTGCACAGTATGGGGCTGGTTCATATTGCCAAATGCATGCTGCTCTTCTAACTCCATGTGTGTAGTTAGGGGAATGTTTGGCAAGGAGGGATTGAATGATTGTGGTTCTTGCTGCTCTGAAAAAGGGAACTACATCTCATAAAACACAACATCACGAGATACAAAAATGGATTTATCATTCATGTCATACAATATATAGCCTTTGATATTTGCAGGTAGCCCTAAGAACACACACTTTCTTGATCTTTGATCCATTTTGTTTTTGTGGTGTGGTAAGGTAGATGCAAAACATAGACAACCAAGGACCTTAAGTCCAATGAGGTCCGGTTCTCTTCCATATACCTTGTGATGAGGACTCAAACCTTCAATTACCAGAGATGGAAGGCGGTTGATCGAGAAAACGGCATGTGAGACGCAATGCCCCCGGAACTCTATAGGCAGTTGAGCTTGAAACCGGAGGGATCTTGCAACATTGAGAATATGTTGATGTTTTCTTTCAACAACTACATTTTGTTGGGGAGTATTACACAAGACTTTTGATGAAGGATCCCTTTTTTCAGCAAAGAAATTTTCCATATCAAACTCGGGTCCATTATCACTTCGAATCACCTTGATTAGGACACCAAATTGAGTTAGAATAATGTTGTGAAATTTATTTATTAAACCCCTGACCTCTGATTTTCTTTTCATTAGATGAAGCCAAGTAAATCTTGAGTAATCATCTACTAAAGTTAAGAAGTATTGTTCCCCTTGTATTGAATTAAACGGGAAGGGACCCCATATGTCTGCATGGACTATCTCAAAGCAACCATTTGTTGAAGAAGTGCTTAAAGGGAAAGGAGACCGTTTGTATTTAGCTAGATGACATACATCACAAGCCCTATTAGGGTGAGTGGATTTTGGTAAATCCTTGATCAAATGCATTCTTGAATAGTCGTGACCTTCATTCTAAAATGTGGGTGTGGGGAATGTAGAATTTTTTTTAACAAGTTTAGGTTGTGAGAATGGTTCACCAAGGACAAGTGCACGGTTTGCTAATTCCTGAACACGAGTACGAAAGTCAACAATTGATTCCTCGTCTTTCATTTTTAGATTTTCAAAGTCTGATTGAACCATTTGTAATTTTGACTCTTTTACAGAACTAGTCCCCTCATACGTTGTTTCTAATGCCTCCCATGCATCTTTAGCAGAGTCACAACCTGCAACAATTGAAAATTGACTTTCGTGCATTAGTGAAAAGATAATGTCTAGCTCCTTGTTGTTATATCCTGCGGTAGTCATTTCAGCTTCTGTCCATTCCTCCTCTGGTTTGAGGACTGGAGGATCCTCTGCAATGTCTCCATCTTTAGTAAGATGAGACCACCTAGTAAGAACAACCATAGACGGAGCCAGAGGGGGGGCAGGGGGGTCAGCTGCCCCCCCTCACCCCACCCCACCCCTACCCTATATTGTATATAATATGTATATATATAGTACATTATTCATATAAGTATTATAAAACAGATTATGTAAACAAAAGTTGTGATAGACAAGGTGGTAGCTAATATATATGAGTTTTGGAATGGCCTGGGTTCGAGTCTTTACATTGACAATGTTACCGTTTTCTTCACTTTTTTGATTAACACAATTAAATTTTGGCATGATATATATAACTTCCATTATAAATTTCTTTATAATAATAATGGAATGTGTAATTTATAATGTGTTTTATATTCAAATTGTTTTATCAAATTAATTATGTTTCATATTTTATTATAAATATTTTTATAAAGTTTTAATATGTATTATTTTTCGCTATATCCAACAATATTTATTGTTATTACTTCTTAAGTATTTCATTTTTTTTTAAACTTTCTCTTTTATTTTAATTTTTTTCCCCCACTAAAAAAAAATTCTGAATCCGCCATTGAATCCATCCCTACTTCTTTGCCCCCCCTTTCTGGCTCCGTCCCTGAGAACAACCCTCCCGACCCTCTCACCTTGAGCTCGTAAGTGC